ATATGTATATGTGTGTTGTTATAAGATAACATGCACCTACTTTAAAAAACAACTTCAAACAGTATATGAGAGTATAATAGTGATAAGCCCTCCCTTTCCCCCAACCACCAGTCCTGTGCCCTTCCATGGAAGTATTCATTACAAGTTACTTTTGTATTCTTCCCAAGAGATTCCCTATATAGATAAATAAACATAATATTTGTGTTTCAGGGATCATTTTTAAGACCTTTGCCATAAATACTTGGGGCATTTTTTTCTCTGCATGATGTATTATAATACTGCAAATTCCCGTTGTTAAATTGCCGGGAATTTATTCAGATGTGGCAGTTTTATTTCAGAATTTTATTTATTGTTACTCAACAAAGCAAAAATATAAGTCCCAAAATGTACTGATTACTGCTAATTTTTTACAAGTAAATTGACCTTTAATTTTTAGCTTTTCTTTTTAAATTAAATTGTATTTATGTTTTCCCATGTTGGAAGACTGTTGGGATAAAATTATAACAGAAAGGCATGAACATTGAAGTGTCTTTTATGTGCTTTTTAAATATAACATTTCTTTTTTGTGTGAGGAAGATCAGCCCTGAGCTAACATCTGCCAATCCTCCTCTTTTTGCTAAGGAAGACTAGCTCTGTGCCATCTTCCTCCACTTTATATGGGACGCCGCCACAGCATGGCTTGACAACCGGTGCGTCAGTGCGCACCCGGGATCCGAACCCCAGGCCGCCGCAGCAGAGCACGCACACTTAACTGTTGCGCCACCAGGCTGGCCTCAATAAAACATTTCTCGTTGACGTTATGTTCACTAACAAAACATTTCATGACAGAGAAGCATGGCTATTACAGGCCATTCTGTAGAAAGCTGGTGCAAGTGGCCCACTGTAAGCTTTTCTTCCTATCCACTTTTTCATCTTGAACCTGGCATTGCCGAGAGCTTTAATAAAGGGGTTATCTAAGTAAGGACAAAGAATTCCTAGGTTAGGTTCTTTGTTCTCTGAGAGGTCTATGTGTTTTCTGAAATGTACCCCCAGAAATAACTCTGCACTAATTAAGAAGTGAAGAGTATGTCATTTCTTCTCAAATTGATCTATAGATTCAATTCAGTATCAATCAAAATTCCAAAAGGCTTTTTCTAGAAAGTGAAAAATTGATTCTAAAATTTTAAAAAAGGAAAATCAAGTTGGAGGCTTCATACTAATATAAAGCCATTATGGTAGATCAAGACAGGGTGGTAATGGGTTTAAAGATAAATATATTAATGGAACAGAATAGAGTGTCTAGAAATGGACCTACATATATGTACAGTCTTTTTTTTTTTTTTTTTTTAAATAAAAGTGCCAGCACAACTCAGTAGGGAAAGTCTTCAAGAACTGTTGCTGAGGGGCCAGCCCCGTGGCCTAGCGGTTAAGTGCACGTGCTCTGCTACTGGCAACCCGGGTTCGGATCCCGGGCGTGCACCGACACACCGCTTGTCTGGCCATGCTGAGGCCGCGTCCCACATACGGCAACTAGAAGGATGTGCAGCTATGACATACAACTATCTACTGGGGCTTTGGGGAGAAAAAGGAGGAGGATTGGCAATAGATGTTAGCTCAGAGCCGGTCTTCCTCAGCAAAAAGAGGAGGTTGGCATGGATGTTAGGTCAGGGCTGATCTTCCTTGGGGAAAAAAAAAAAAAAGAACTGGTGCTGTAACAATTGGATAATCTAATTGGAAAAAAAGAAAAGAACCTAACTGCTACCTGACACCATACACAAAAAAATTAATTTGAGATGGGTCCTGCTGCCAGCTCTGCCTGACCACCTCACATGGATCTCAAGGAAAGTCAGCTCAAAGGGAGGAAGACCATAGGAGGCCCAGAGAGAAGAAAGAGGGTTTTAGGTCATGGCTTCAGTCCCCTTGCCATCTGGCACCCAGCCAGGTACAAGGGAAAGACTGTGGGATTTGCAGTTGAACAGACTCAAGATTAGACCTAAACATAACAGCTAACTCTTTGACACTTTTGGAAGAAAACGTAAGGAGATACCTTTATTATTTGGGATAAGGCAAAGATTTTTTCCTGGGACAAAAAACACAAGAAAAAAAGTGGATAAATTTGACTTCATCGAAATTAAAAATCTTTGCTTATCAAAAGAAACCATTAAGAAAATGAATAGTCAAAGCGTAGACTGGGACAAAATATTCTCAATACATAAATCTGTCAAAGGACTTGTTTCAAGAATATGCTTTAAAAATGACTCCTATAAATCAATAATAAAAGACAAATGACCCAATTAAAAATAATGGGCAAAAGATGTGAATAAACACTGTACAAAAGAAGTTTATAAATGGCTAGTAAGCACATGAGAAAAAATGCTGAGCCTCATTTGTCATCAGAGAAGTGCAAATTAAAACCACGATGAAACACTGCTTCTTCCAGAATGGCTAAAATTAAAAAATCTGACAACACTAAATATTGGCAAGGATGTGAAGCAGCTGGATTCATAAACTGTTGGTGGGAGTGTAAAATGATGCACACCCACTTTGGAAAACTATTTGGCACTTATAAAGTTAAGTATGCATCTACTCTGTTACCCAGAAGTTCTACTCATGAGTATTTAACAAGAGAAATGAAAATAAATATCCACAAAGCCTTGTATTAGAATGTTCATAGCAAGTTTTTTCATGTTGTAAAAAAAACCCTGAAAACAACCCAAATGTCCATTAAGAAGTGAAGAGGGGGATTATGATGTATTCATACAGGAAAATAATAGCAATAAAACAAAACATTAATAATAGACATGATATGGAAGGACCTCAAAACATTTGATTGAGTAAAAGAATTTTGCCAGACACAAAAAAATACATGCTGGATGATTCTATTTATATGAAGTTCACAGAGAAAGCTCAGTCTGGTGGTAGAAATCACAAGAGTAGTTGCCTCTGGGGTGTGAGAATTAACTGGAAAGGGGTAATGTAAGCTCCAGAATTTTGTCTGCTTTCTGGCAGTTTTAAAAGCATATCAGCACCCCAATGTAGAAAGAAATGAAAATATTCCATTTTGCTCCTGGTTTGTAGTACAGGTCAATTATTTGAACTCTGAGTTCTTCCCTATTTTCCCATTATTGTAGATAATTAAGAGTTAACTATACTGAGGTTATTCACTGCAGCATTGTTTTGTTGTTGTGTATTGTTTTTTAATAGTAAAAGACTGAAAGCAGCCTAAATGTCTCATTAATAGGACACCAGTTAATTGAGTTATGGCATAGTCATTGCATTACTATCTAGCTGTAAAATAACAAAAAAGGTCTTTATGTGTTGATATGAATGTCTCTGAGATGTATTAAGTGCAAAAAGCACTATTAAAAATTGTACGAGTGTTTTTTTAATGTGTATAGATGTACACACAAGTATGTGCATAGAATATCTCTAAAGGTGTACACAAAAAATCGATATAGTGTCAGTTGCCTCTGAGAGGATAATTGGGTCGATGGTAATCAGAAAGAGACTTTTCACTGGATACACTTTTGTACTTTTTGAATTTACTATCATATGAATGCAATGCTATATAGAATATAAATTTTAAAATACCTATACTAAGAAGAGAAAATTAGAAACCAGAGAATTCTGAAACTCATAGTCACAGAGTATAGATAGCATTCTGAGCAGAGAGGTCCAAAACTGCTGAGAACATTTTGAATAATGGGAACTTGATGTCCCACGTGACTTAGGGGGTAATCTAAGACTGTTGCAAAACACTAAACTGGCTCCATCAGAATCACCTGCAGAGTGTGGTCAATATACCTTGGCCTCTATTCCCAAGATTTTGTTATTGTTCAGTAGACCAAGGCTGGGGCCTGAATGTTTTGTGTTTAAAATCTTCTTAGGTGACTCCTTTAACCAGCCAGCTCTGGAAACCACTGGTCTAAAATATGTGTCCTTACAATCTTCCATTCATTCTATGTTTTGATCTTTTCTGGTTGTTTTAGAGTGCTGTGTTTGAGTTTATTCATTTTCATTCATTCAGAAAACATGGATTGATCACCTATTGTATATGAGGTTTTTAACATATTTAGACTTGACCTTAGGAATGTCACTTTAGAACTACTCTTAGGGTTACGGGTGAGTGATTTTATTTTTCTTCAGTGAGGAATCTGGAAGGTCACCTAGTTTTTATGTAACACACGACTAATTTTTCCTTTGAATTAATTTATTGGTTTCTCTTCCCTACAGATTTCAGAACTGATATTTCCGCCTCTTCCAGTGTGGCATCCTTTGCCAAGAAAAAAGCCAGGAATATACCGAGGGAATGGCCATCAGAATCACTACCCTCCTCCTGTTCCATTTGGTTATCCAAATCAGGGAAGGAAGAATAAACCATATCGCCCAATTCCAGTAACATGGGTACCTCCTCCTGGAATGCATTGTGACCGGAATCACTGGCTTAATCCTCACATGTTAGCACCTCACTAGCTGCTTTTGATTCTGTTGGTGTCATGTTGAGAGAAGGTAGAATAAGCCTGACTACATATTAAAAGTTAAAAGTTCATACTCATAGTAGTAAAGTTAGATGGGCCAAACCATCAAACTTATTTTTATAGAGAAGTTATTGAGAATAATGTTTCTTAAAAAATATATATGCACTTTAGATATATTGATATAGTTTGAGAAACTTTATTAGTCAAGTGCCTGAGTTTTTAATACTGGACTTGAGTATTTATATATTGTGCATCAACTCTGTTGGATACAAGAACACTGTAGGAGAGGACGATCTGTTCTAGCACCTTTGTGCATTTACTTTATGGAGAGTATGTAAGTTATTTATACACATGGAAGTCTATTTTATGTCATTTTTGTTTAGAAGAATTGCGTGAAATCATGTAGTTGCAAATAAAAAGTAGTTTGAGGCATGACAATGTGTGCTTCTGTTCTGTGCATAAGAAAGAAGGGAGAAAGAGCAAAAGTGATATCTCACTTCAGTGTTTAAATATTTAGCAAAGAAAAAAGCAATGTAAGAATTCAAACTTTCTGTTAAAAAAATCAACTTTTTATTAACTATACCTTTCCCAATGGCTACAGTACCAAAATATGCATATAAAAAGTCTAAAATTTATTAGTAGTAGCTAATTGGAAATATAAATATAATAAAACATCTTTCAACCATCAGAGTCACTATACGTAGAATTTTCTTGACCAAGAATCTGGCCTGTACTAATTTTGATATGACATCTGACTTATATGCCTAATGCTTTGCATAAAGCAGAAATGTTCTTAACAGGCGCTCTAATCTCTTGACTGGTGCTTTTTTCCAACATGTCTTTACTAGAGGTCTAAAATAAAGCCAAATAGTACAGTGCTTCAGATTCTTCAGTAGTGCTTCATATTTATACCACTGTAACGCCATCAGTCTTGTGAGCATGCTTCAACTACAAAAAGAGAAAAAGAGATAGAAGAATTTGGAATTTTTTCAAAGTTAATTTTTAAAAAAGTAAGATCAGTACACTTTTTCCCATCACTCACATCTTTAGATTTCTAGTCTTAAATTATTTGACTTATCAGAAAAATCACAACTTGCTAATAAATCATGAGATGTCTTTGGCTATTCTAAATAATCCTGTTGTCATTTTTTATTGAAGTATAGAATACCAGAAAAGTGCACAAATAAGGATACATATAGCTCCAAGGTTTGTAGAATTTAAAGTATTTGCAACATCAACAGAAAACGTATTTCTAAACCTTAGAGACTTTCCTAGTTTTAATCTTCTACTCTTTGATAAGCCATACATGACTTTTAACATATTTCTAAACCATATTAATATCTACTTTTTTTCCTGGAATATATAGTGAATGCCTATTCACACTTGAGTGTATTTTCCTAGGGGTAACTGGCATCACAAGGGAGGTTAGTTTTATTTATTTAAGTTGGAACTTTTTTTATCTGTTACTGTTCCCTTACAGGTCCTAGAGAGTTTTGTGTGATAATGGCAGATTTGTGGGCAGTTGTAAAGGTGTCAAGTTTCAAGTATTTGTATCATGGAGTTAGCAGATAGCATTAGTTCTATTAATTTGCTCGTGTCATAGTTATAAGCTTGTTGGGAAAATCAGAAGCATGATAGCCATAGTGTCAAGAAGGGAAGTGTCTTTGGCACAGACCTCATAACCAGACCTTTCTTTCCACATTAGATTACTATAAAATCGCCTAAATCCCTTATTCATTCATGCTGACAACTAAATGGCAAGAGTGCCATGGAGAAAATGCTAATATTGAAGTTGACTGCATATTAGACGTACTACTTGTAGAAGATTCTGCCCTTTATTGACTATCCACCCCCTAATTTTATTCCAAAATTTCTTTAAAGCAAAAGAAAATACTCGTCAATATGGCTTTTCTAATCCATTCCTAGTAAAATAAAGCCATCTGTCTCTCAGCAGCTGGTCTTAAATTCAGTCTGGTAAGAATGGGGTCGAAGAGTTTGTCAAACTTTTTAATGGTAAGTAGGACTCGAGGAGTTGTAACATCTCTAAGTCTGTCTCCCTCAGATGGCTCCAGGACTGCTCTAATGAGGACAAGCATAGCCGTCTCATTTCAGCTTGAAAGCCTTATCAGTCTTTCTAGCAGGAGTGGTTTGTGACTGAATGTTGATAATTTGTCTTAATTCTCCATTTTATTTTACATTTGTAGGCATAACTGCAAAGCTCTAAATTTAGAGGTTAAACTTGGACATGGAAATTTTAAAAAGAAAAGAATATAAATTACTTTGGTAAGTTCTATTATATCAATACTAAAGTGCTTGTTTCTGTTTTTTTATTGTACTATTTATCTCAAAATATTTAACTTCTCAGCAAACTTCTATGATTTCAAGCTAAGATAAAACATTTATGTTGACTTCTACTCAGCTATCACTGTTAAAGTGATTTCTTATTTGATGATCAGGAAGAGGGGAAAAAAGCCTACAAACACCTATCGTGCACTTACCTTGCCAGAGTAGCCATTCTATCCATTTTACAGACAATAGTAAACAGTAAGTTTTTAAAATTTTTATTGCTGTGTGCCAACAACTTGTTTATTCCTCATAATAACCCCATGTGGTAAGTACTGTTATTATCCCAGTTTAGACAAGGACTCTCAGAGAAGTTAAAAGTGCTCAAGATCATAGAAAGCTAAGTGATGAAGCCCTGACTTTAAAAACAAGCTGGGCTTTGTAAAGCCCGTACTCCATGGTGCATTGGTTCAGTTTGTTACCTGTAAAATCTACCAACTCTTGAAACTTAGGAGAAGGTTTGGTATCAAGCAAAGATTTGAAAAAAAGGAACAGATGCAAAGGAACAGATGCAAAGATTAGATTGAGCGAGGGAGAATACAAGACATTAAAGTATCTACTGATTAATGACTAATAAAGCCTTGACAAAGTTCTTTTTTACAAACTCTTCAGATATTTCTGAAAGGGGGCAGGCTAATAACTTGATAGGCATTTGCTTGAACTCTAAGTCAAATTGCAATATAAAATACAGCCCAATCAACTGAGGGTTGAGATGACAAACCAACTGTACCAATGATTGGTCAAGGGGAAAGGTCACACAGAGAATTAGTGATATTAGTAAGGCCCAAGTTTATCACAGGCTTTAACTTTTTTTCCTTAGTCATCAAATATTTGTTGATTGAACACAGCTCACAATGTTATTATCTATTGTCTGGAGTTTGTATTCCAGTTGTGAGGCAGTAACACTCTGAGGCTCTAAGGGAGACATCACAGTATCCCTGCATTACAGATGGAGCTTTATGGCATCAGCTCATCCTGAGAAGTTGTCACACAAGCACTAGTTATAGAGAAGGCTCATGCAATTCTCCTTTAAAACGTGCACACCTTATTCTCTGCAGAAAGCATCCCTTGCCTCCCAATTTAATAGCACTAGGTACCGTCCAGGTTCGTTTGTTCTTTCACATATAATGTAAAGGATAACATAAGGAACAAAATGGAAACACATCTAACCGTTATTGAAGCAAATTCTCCCTTAGGACTTGTAGCAGATATACCACTGCAATTAGGGTGGTTTGATGTTTATTTCTTAAAGCACATGATCAGCACAAATAAAAGTACTGAATTTTATTGTTTCTACCTTCAAAAACGAAATAGCTTGCTACAGCGATGACCTGGAACTTAACACTCATGGGAGCCTTGCTTAAATTTTATAGGACTTGAAAATACCAAGTATTATGATATAGACATCCATAGATTGGCTTAAAAACTCTACCATTTTTTTAAATATATTTTAATATGTATAATATATATTAAATCTATAGGAAATATAGGTAGTAAGCATTTCTACCCAGGCTAGAGGTTTAATGGATAACTTCTGTACACAAATTTCAGTGTCATAACTGATAAATGTATGACCTTCACTAGTAATTAAAGCAGTTTATTTTGGCAGTCATAAGGTTTAAAATGCCCAATGTTGGTGAGCGTGTGGGGAAGCAGTCAGTCTTCATATAGTGTTAGTACAGGTTTAAAGGAATATTACCTTTTTGAAGGGCAATTAAAAATGTAAAGATGCATATCCTTTGATCAAGCAACTGTACTTACTTCTAGAAATTTATCTATAGAAATAAACAAGGGGGCCATTATCTATGTGAAAATGTTCATTGCAAAATTGTTGTGAATGGCAAAAATAACAAAAACTCAAGTAGCTACCAATAGATAAACAGTTAAATAAAATTTGAACATCTATTCAAAAAATACTATGGAAAACACTACACACACAAAAAGTGCATCAGTTTCTAATGATGTGGAATTAAATATTGCAAGTTGGGGAAATAGTGCAAGTGGAGAAAGAAAAATAATATATCTAGGATGGTGCCAGTATTGTGTGGAAAAATAAATACCAAACCGTTAACAGTAGTGTTCTCAGAGGCAGGGGAAGGGGCACAGATACAGAGAACTTTATTTTTCTAAATTGTACATTTCAGTCTTTAGAATTTCATACTGAGCATTATTCTTGGTAACTGGAGGGGTAAAAAGACAAACTTTTTTAGAATCGCTTAAGACAAGTTTGGCAGATTTATTTTTAGCAAATACAGATACTGTACATCACTGATAACCAGATTACATATATGTTTCATGGGCACTCTGTTACATTTCTAAATTAAATGATTGCAATGTGGTTACAAAATTTTTTTGTTGATCATATGGTGTCTAGAAGGAAATATTCCAAAATAATAAATGCTTTTAATAGAGTGGTAGTATTACATACTTTTCCTCCAGTGTTCCCAATTATATAAAATATAATATTAATTTCACGAGAAAAATTTAAAATATACTTTGTGGGAGAAAAATCCCTATTGTTAAGAAAGTATTAAATACCTGGAAATAAACTTTAACAATAACAGAAAGAAGTGAGTCCTATAGAGGAGAAAAATTTATAAAAATTTGCCTCAAGACACAAATAAAGAACTGACTAGAAGGATATACCATATTTCTAAATTGACTCAATGTTATAAAAACTTTTCAAATTAATATGTAAAATCAATATAAATCATAATTAAAATCCCAATGAAAAAAAATTTTTTTTTTTTTTTTGGTGAGGAAGATTAGCCCTGAGCTAACGTCTGTTGGCAATCCTCCTCTTTTTGCTGAGGAAGATTGGCCCTGGGTTAACACCTGTGCCTGTCTTCCTTTACTTTATATGTGGGACGCCTGCCACAGCATGGCTTGATAAGCGGTGCGTAGGTCCTTGCCTGGGATCCAAACATGTGGACGCTGGGCCGTCGAAGCGGAGCAGGTGTACTTAATTGCTATGCCACCAGGTCGGCCCCCCAATGAAATTTTAATGGAACTTGAAAACCTGATTTTAAGTTTACCATGGAAGAAGAATACTCAAGAATAACCAAGAATTTTCTTTAAAAGGACCATGGACAGGGATGTTCTTCCTTTTACGTGATTTATCAATACATACTCTAAAGTATAACATATGAGTGAACTAATACACCAATGAAACAGAATTACAAGTGTAGAACCAGAATCATTTATATACAAACATTTAATCTACAGTGAATGTGGTTTTCCAGATTGGAAATAATTCACCAATAAAAAATTAAGAGTGAACTGTTTGGCTATGCACTTTGTTTTTTTGTGTGTGTGTGTGTGAGGAGATCAGCCCTGTGCTAACATCTGCCAATCCTTCTCTTTTTTTTTGCTGAGGAAGACTGGCCCTGGGCTAACATCCGTGCCCATCTTCCTCCACTTTATATGGGACACCGCCACAGCATGGCTTGCCAAGCAGTGCGTCGGTGTGCGCTCGGGATCTGAACCGGCGAACCCCGGGCCGCAGCAGCAGAGCACGTGCACTTAACTGCCTGTGCCACCGTGCCAGCCCTTGGCTATGCATTTTTTAAGAGTTAAATTCGTACTTAAACTATAAAAATAAATTA